TTTACTCGCTACAGGGTGTACTTTGAGGGCTTGTGACTCTGCCGACCGTTTACATGCAGAAAAAGCTACATAACAGACAAGGGGAAGGGGAATAACCAGAAAAGCATGACATGGGCTCTTTAAGGTTTTTAAACCCATGCATCCTTCTGCATTGTGACATATTCACAGCTGATGGATTTAAATCCCACCTGTACATCAAGGTCTTTTTTTGCAAAGTTCGCATTTCAATTTCCTCCCACAGGAAACTCAAATGCATGTAGGTCTGACACACCTGTCCGCATGCATTCTGGGCTTTACTTCAGCCTCCTGCGACTGTGAACAGGATGAACGAATATAAAAGAGCAGTGTGGTGGATCTCATTGGACGAACAATTAAATCCTTAGACTGACTTAGGGGCAAAAGCACAATCTTGCTACGAGCCACTACAGTAAAGGGCTATATATGCTTGTTAGATCAAAAAACACACACACAAACAACTCAGACAAACACAGTTGTGGTTTACACTACGTAGTTTGTTTTTGAAGTTGTATTTCTTTAGTAAGGGCGTTTCCTAACAGTCTCGGGTGTTTTTGACACCTCAGGTTGCAGCAGCTTGTTGTGAATTTAATATTCCATTTAATTTACAAAAACAGGCTCACCACAGTGTAATCAGATATAGATAGTGGAACTTCTCTCCTATATGACAATTCTCACTCTATGGTCTATTGATGCATGACTTTTTTAAACCTCTCAGCTAAAAAAGAGAAGTGGTGTTGGAAATTAGATACTATCAGTTCACAGGGGGCAGGCCGTTTCACAATATGCCTCCAGAGTTTCCCTCTTATTACCTTTTTATTGTTTCTGTCTTTATATGCAATGTCCTTTCAACTATGGAACAAAGACACCAAAATTTTCTGTGAAACCACGGAAACGTACAAACGTTACGACAAAAAGACACTTTAAATGGTTTCGTATGACTGCAATAATGTAATTTTCCATGAGAAACACTCTATTGTCCTTGAGACACATTTGGCTTAATGGCATGATTATATAGTCCTGTCTTCTCAAATGTTTCTTTTGGACTTATTTTCGGACCACCCTTGCATGCTTTTGAAGAACTGGTATTGGAAAATTAGAGTGCAGACATAGAATTAGAGCTTGCTGAAAGCTTGAAATATATAATCACAAGGCTTTGATGCAAATGTGTTCTGGTTTTGCTCATATTTTGGAAAAGTGGGTTTCTTGATTTTGTGGGGTCTGGCATCACGTTCTGTTGCTTGCAAACTGCGCTGTATGCTGATTCTCCTTATGTTGTGTGTTTATGGTTGACTTGAAAGTGGTCTCGGCCTCGATGCCACTGCCTGTTTCAAGTTTTGTGGATACGCCCTGCTGGTGCATGCTGGTTGGAGGTTCGCTGAAGACAAGTGTGCCATGCATGGTGATAATAAGGGCATGGAGTGGAGAGTGTGGCTGCCTCTTTACCCAAAGATACAACCACAGCTGTGTGTGATATATGTACGAAACCCTCTATCTGCAGGGAGGGGCACCCTACATGTGATGGGAGTTCCTGTTTTTTCTACTTTCTGAGAAATATTGAAAACAACTCTAATTTGAAGTACGGTGCAAGTGAATTCCTTGCGACACATCCTTCGAAATATTGAGTCACTCCTTTTCAAAACATTTACTACTCATTTACTACACGTGACACATGTGTGTTGAAAGAGCCTTTTCCCGTATCATTTATCTTAGGACAGCTTGAGCAATTGAGTTCATGTGAGTGTGAAATATGTGCTGGGAAAACTAAATGAACTTAATGTTCCAAAAAAGTGTAAGAAAAACTGATTTTATTACATACTTATCCAACAATTTGATTGGAAGATGTTTGAACCTTTGAACTTCTCACAGTTGATATTTGAAGGTGATGGAACAAAAGTGACAGCAATCTCTGTTGCATACCCTGTTTGTGTGTGTGTGTGTGTGTGTGTGTGTGTGTGTGTGTGTGTGTGTGTGTGTGTGTGTGTGTGTGTGTGTGTGTGTATGTGTTGTGTGTGGTCTTTCTTGGGTGTGACTACTTCCGCATCAGAAAATGCTACATCTTCTCACTCCCTCCCTCACCATCCCACCAGCAGCCAGAGTAAGTACAGCTGTAATTACCTTTACTGGATTGTATCATTTTATAATGGGGAGAAATTAAATAATCTTATGTTTTTGAGCATATATGCTGTTTAACTCTCAGGTGCACAAGTTATTAATGTGGAATTTGCTCTGTCTTTATTAAAAATGTCTTAGGAATTCAAATGTTCTGTAGATTTTTGTGGTGCATGTTGTCTTGCTCCAGAGTCCATTTAATTGTTTTTTACTGCAGCAGGGAATCAAACCAAGTGGAACTGATGATAATGATACAGAATAACAGTAATGAAATAGCCAATCTTGATGCTAATGGTCTCATTTACTTATGTTTGTCATATATAAATGCATCAGTATGCATTAAACGGTTTTATAATCAGTTTAAAACCTTGTAGTAACAATTAAAAAAAATGAACCTTTGGGGGAAAATGTTGCTTTAGCCATTTTTTGATTGATCTTTTAATAGTTTTTTTAGAGTTTTAAAAGAAAAATAAATGTTTTGAAATTTTGCAATATTGAATTTAAGAAAGGGAATTACATTTTTAATACATTTTACAGCCGTATTGTAAGAAAATACTGTATTGTATTTCCTCCACGTGGAGATTTAAAGGCCCCCTGCAGCTGCTCTCTCATCCTGTGCTAACCACAGCTGGGTGGAGTGTTTTCAAATCAGGGCGGCTTTTAAATGATGGCTTTTAAATGGGTTAAAGCTCCGCGATGAGGAAGTGAGTGAGGTGAAGTGAGTGTTATTTCCCCGTAAATTCTGTATTGAAACTTTTCTGTTCTGTCTCCTCAGCTGTGTGTTGTGCAGAGAAAGAGCTCCAGAGGTCAGACTGTGATAGCCTGTGTGTTTGCAGGAGTTTCACACAAATTCCCGTGCAGCTCGTACCCTACACAACCATCATCGCTGCTATGAGCCTCTTCACCTTCCTCCCCTCCTCTTCTTCGTGCCCCCACTTGTACCACAGCAACACCACACCATCCAACGACAACACCACAACCAGCGACTTCAACCATGTGATCCTGCGGCATTACAACCACACGGGCCGCCTGCAGAACCGCACCATCTCCAACCCCCAGAGCCACATCAGCGTGCCCGTGGTGGTCATCCTCTGCTTCAGCATCTTCATCATCCTGGAGAACCTCCTGGTGCTTGTGGCCGTCGTCTCCCGCATTCGCCACAGCCGCCGCTGGGTCTATGTGTGCATCGCCAACATCACGCTCAGCGACCTCCTCACCGGCGCCGCCTACCTGGTGAACATCTGCATGTCGGGCAGCCAGACGTTCCGCCTCTCCCCGGCCCTGTGGCTCTTCAGGGAAGGGATGCTTTTCGTGGCCCTTGCAGCGTCCATCTTCAGTCTGCTGCTGATCGCCGTGGAGCGTTACACCACCATGATGAAGCCCCTGCCTCAGAAATCTGCCAGCAAGACCTACTGCAGGATCTACGGGCTGGTGGCGCTCTGCTGGGTTTTGGCGCTGGTGATCGGCTTCCTCCCCCTGCTAGGATGGAACTGTGTGTGCAGCCTGGACGCTTGCTCCACCCTCCTCCCCCTCTACTCCAAAACCTACATCTTCTTCTCCCTCATCATCTTCTTCCTCATCCTGCTGGCTATCGGCGTGCTGTACGGTGCCATCTACTGCCACGTTCACAGGAGTGCAAGTCTGGGCCCTCAGCGCAGTCGCAAACGCTCCCTGGGTCTGCTTAAAACTGTCATGACCATTGTGGGGGTGTTTCTGCTGTGCTGGGGGCCTCTGTTTCTGCTCTTACTGGTGGATTTCTTTTGTGCATCCCGCAAGTGTGCACTTTGGTTCAACGCTGACATTTGCATCTCCCTGGCGGTCTTAAATTCAGGCCTGAACCCCATTATCTACGCCCTGGGCAGCACTGATATGAGGAAGGACATCGCCAAGCTGCTGTGCTGCTGCTGCCTGAAGGTCGGCATCTGTCGCCCGGACACTTTCACCTCCAAGGAGACCAGCAGTACCTCGGAGAGCCGGAGGGACAGTCTGAGGAACAGTTTTAACAAAATCAGAAATCTGAGCCTGGTCTCGCCTCCATCGACGCCCAACAAGCCTCGCAGAACACCCAAAAAATATCGGCTGAGCTCCACCACCAGCTGCTTGTCAGTTTCAAGTGGTTAAAACCACAAAGTGCTCCACTCCCAAACAACAAGATCTGTGTTCACTGATACACATCTAACCGTTTCCTCCCAGTTCTGGTCTGACTGTTCAGTGCTCCTCCTGCACGTACTTGCACCATTGATAACACACTGTCAGAAGGCCTGTTTTAAATGGGTGTACTTGAGTTTGCAATGATAAGCAGTTTTTTTCATGATCAGACATTTCTTTTTTTCCATGCATACTCTAAAAAACTGTTCTCTTCACCTGCAGACAAAGTACTTTCATAAACACACAGACCTTCACAAGAGATTTTGACCAAATAAGAGGAGAGACCATCTTAAAAACATGGATAGAAACAAGTGTTTCAATCTCTCAGTTGCAATCAAATCTCATAAAATCATATCTTACGGGTTTATACAACCTAATATGCAAAACTGACAGAGAAATGGACCGTGTACAGGAATCTGTTGTTGTGCATGGTCGACCATTGTTCTTCTCCTATGCAGCAATAAACTCACCTTTTAGACCAATGTGGACTTGTGCAGAAAAAGCAAATTAGGGAATTTAAAGGGGCTTAATTGCCAGCAAACACCCGCCTCAAAATTGTTCACTTTTATAGTAACCTCTTAGATAAACACAGGAAGAAGCTGACCCAGGTGGTTAACCAGACCAGAAAACTCATAACAACTCCGAAACCTATATATAACCAACATCTTATAATGACTGCCACAAGTCACATGTGTCCGTCCTGCTGTGGCCATCTTTTTTAAACCCACAACGTTCACAAACAATGTTTAAAATGTAATTTTGAGTGTTAGATCTGTATTTTGTGTCTCTTTCACTGTTTTGAATTCAATTGTATGTGAGGTAATGGACAATATAAAAAAAAAAAAAAGTATATTTTTTTATAAGAAGGAAGCTCCAGTTAAGCATGGAAATGTATTTGATAAAAGAAAAATATGTAAAAAAATGGTGTGTATTGTAAAATGTTCTGTAAGCGGATTGTTTAACTGTATGATTAAAATGTGAATAAAGTTTATTTTGCCTCATACATTCGATGCATGCTTTTTTTCCAGTATATTCCCTGTGATTTCCTCTGGAGGGAGACACATCACAAAGTCTTGTCTGAGGAGGGATACAAAACACTTCACCATCCTGAAAATACATCGCAGTTACCTGAACACAAATACTATTCTAAATATACCATATTACACATTAAATGACATATTTAAACCTCTCAAAAACAAGACATTTGTTCTCTCATTATGCAAGCTTTGCAAAACACTCATGTCACTCCTCAACAGGCCTTTTTTTAGGCTGCCCTCCCTTCCTGTGTTTCTGACAGGATGACAGATTAGAGTTCAGATCGGAGGAGGTGAGCTCTGGGTCTGCAGCCCCAAGGGCACAAGCATCCAGGGCTGATTCAGAAAATGCTTTATGACTAAAAATACAAAGCCACAAGATGCAGTCAATACTGTATTACTCCCACTTTCAGTATCATGTGTTTTCTCTACTTTCTTATTGCATATTGCATACTTAAAGGTGGGGTAGGTAATTTTGGAGAAACCAGCTCGAGTGCGCTAGAATTTGAAAATACACAACCGGAAAAAAATTGCCACTTCCTTCAGAGCCCCTCCTCCAACACAAACAAACGCGCACATGACCAATGAGGGCACGAAATAAATTTGTGCACAGATGGAAAGCTGACAGGCAGGAAGCCATCCAGTTACTTTAGCCGGCCCGGCTCAGATGATTGGTTTTGCTTTTTACAGCGCCACGGCTTCCACAGATGAAATATTTGTATGTATTTATTGTCAAACCATTTAACATTGCTATCGGGATGTTAAGAGCATTCCATGGAATATAAAAACAAATGTTTCTGAAATAAATTACATACCCCACCTTTAAGCCCAGTTCTCACATCATATTTAAAAAGCATTCACACATTGAAGTCATATTTATCTCAATAATTTAAAATATTGATAACTAATTATCCAAATATTTAAATAAAAGTTTCGAAAAAGTACATGTAGTTATTGTTCTGAAGCTTTTATATACAAAAATATAAGTTGGATTGGATTTGATTGACTTGACTTGATTGTTGCAAACAACCAATCACATTTCATCAGATTCAAATGATGCTATGCTGATTGGTTCTCAGGAGTCATTAGCACTTTTACAATTGTGAGCCCCGCCAACTTTAAACCAGTGAAAGAAGCACATGCTAAAACCTATGGCAAAAAACACAGAAAATGCAAACTACCAGATCTATAATAATTACAATTAATAGTAAACTTCTTGTATTTCAATTTTTTTTTTTGTATGTTTACACAATATATGAGGAAAACAGATACAACTACACACAAATACACACATAAAACTAAAATGCAATTAAGGTAATATCAATACTTATAACAAAAGGTTAAAGACAGTGCAGTGACCTTAATCCCTAAATCTTCGAAATGTGTAAATTGATAATATATAGTGTCAAATGTTTATATCAGTATTATTCAACAATTAAAAAAGCATTAAAATAACAACTTTGTCAGCAGATATTTTGAGAACGATTGCTGCAATATGACAGGTAATCGCTGAAAAGTGACAGCAATCTATGTTGCGTGTGTGTGTGTGTGTGTGTGTGTGTGTGTGTGTGTGTGTGTGTGTGTGTGTGTGTGTGTGTGTGTGTCATACTGACGATAGCAAGAGGGCGAGATGTTGAAAACATCCTTAATCCTTTCTTTTTTTAAGTGTCCCTGTAGACTGCTGTGATGAGTGATGAAGACCCATTAGTTTAACAAAAATCCAACATGATACTGGGATTATCTAGCCATTGTCTAATGAGTTCTGTCTTTCTACAGCAAAAGCTTTTTAACCGTACTTCTCAGTGTTTTTTTACGAAGACAAAACCATTAAATATCTTTAAAACACCCAAGATTTTATTTAGTTTTATAAGGAAAATGCTTAACAAAGGTTCTGATTCGTTAAACGGTTCAACTTTGACATTTGTAGGTCAAACTATGACTAAAAAGTGGAATAAAAGGCAAAAACCTAACATTGTGTTTATTAAATGTCTTCCATGTTGACTAGTATCAAAATGCTAATGTTCCTAATGGCACGTTAGCTAGCTCTCTTGTCTTTTCTCCGGAGCGGCAGGACCACTAGACCCAGTTTACCATTACTTGCAAACGCCCACTTTGGGACTCATTTTCTGTAACTAGTGTAGCAGTAAAGAATGGTATAACTAGCAGGCTAGCTAACTAGCAAAAAGCTCTTAGCGAGTGTAGTAGTAAAGACTTGCATAAAAAGCAAGCTCACTAACTAGCGAAAAGTTAGCTAGCTTTCTATTTCCGCCATGCTTTACTGCTACACTAGGACATAAAATATGCCAAACAAAGTGTCACACATCTGGAAAAAGTCCACTACTTATTGTATATCTTTCAGCAAAACCTCACCTTAGTGCAAATGAACGCAAGTCCGTTACTGTATATTGATGATACAGAAGCTGGCCCGTTGCAATCGTTGCAGTTACAAGTGTACTCGTAAAAAATGTCCGCTACTCCGGCATCCTCCTACGTTGATTTGAATGGGAAATTACAATTCTACTTGTATTATTCTAAGGTTTGCACCAAGGGGATCAACTTGTGTTCTAGCCAAAACACACAAAAAAGTGTTTTATTGTTCCTTGCTTGCACGTGTATACACCTCTCAGTCACATCGATTTTCCGGATGAGAAACAATTCTCCTGCTTATCAATAATGCCTTTTGAGATGTTCCACCTTCCTGGCAGCCCATCATGCAGGCATTCCTGTTCGTGAAGTCTGTGAGCTGCTCGGGCTCGTCAGTGACGACTGGAGGAAGGAAACGAGGCGTTGAGGTGAGAGAGAAACAACTTTGCTTTAATCTTTTCTACCTCCCACGCATTCAACGGCTGCTGTGATTGTGCAGAAACAGAAGGAGAGCACACATTCAAATACTTTTAAACCCATTTTTTATTTTTCAAATGTTATTCATGGTTTGCAAATGTGCGCGCATAACCTTGAGGCCCACACACACACTGTACACAATTTAAATGCACACACTCATTGACAAACAAGCCCATAAACACACACACATTCTAAATCCCTACTCTGCAGCCGTTTATGATGTTTCTTACAAGTAGGGATTTCTTAGGCCCGGCTCTCCTCAAAATATTTTCCTGTTTTTTGTGGCTGTTGAAGTAAACAAGTCATTGCTGTGTGTGTGTGTGTGTGTGTGTGTGTGTGTGTGTGTGTGTGTGTGCATGTGTGTGTGTGTGTAAGTGTTTGTGTGAGTTCCCCCTCTCATTAATTCCTGCATCTTTACGGTTAAGAGTAGGGGGTAAGCCTCTCTCATCCTTAGTCCTGGCACAGCTCCAGGTCCGGTGCCTGATGAAAAAACAACATAAAATTCCAGGCTTTATTAGCTCAAGCCTCAGAGACATTGGCAGAATCATATTTGACATGTGAGGGGCTGACGCTCTCACCCTCTTTCTCCCCCCCCCACCCCCCTCATACAACAACAAGGCCTTTTCCCCCGCTCTAAACGAGGTACGATGGGTTAATGATGGTTGCGTGCAGACATGGCTATGCCCTCAATAATTACCTCGCTGGCTTTGCCTCCAGGTGTTCAGCAGACAGCTAATGATGTACTGTCTAAGGAAAAGGGAGGGAGAAGCTTCACGAGGGGAGAGAAAGTGAGAGACGCTGCCATCGGCACTGCGACAACTCGATGGCACAAAAACTGAACGTTACATGGAAAAATGAAAAACTCAGAAAGGTTAAAAACTCGAAGCAAAGGCGGTTGAAAGCATTTAAGTGCATTTACTCGAGGACAATCAAACTTTGAGGTATTTTTTTACTTTCATTTTCTTCTACTTTGGACTTATTTGATTGGGAAATATTGTAGTTTTTACTCCACCACATTTGTTTGATAACTTTGGTTGATTAATATACGTTAAAATAAGAGACAACTGTATTGATTTGGGTAAAGAAAAATCAAATCAGCTCCATCTTTACCATTTCAATCAAGGTAATGGTGCATATCATTTGGTCGTCTATACTGGTGATGTATCCCCTCTTGAGCATGCATCAGCATTGGTTATCTGCCAGCAACTGTCATAGATTGACTTTTATATCCAAACTTTTTAGATCTTGGTCACTTTTTTAAATAAATATTTTAGTGGAGGAAGAACTTAGTCATCAGAGATCTGACACTCAAGAGGAACACGTTAGGCAAACATTTGCTGCAGCCAAACAGCATACTGTAGGACGAACACACATTTTTAACCTGAAACTATTTTATTCAGTGCTTTTATCAATTTTAATCAACTGGTTTGTTCGTTTTGGAGAGAAGGTGACCCATGCACATCATTTTTGGTTCTTACTGTCTGGATTTAAAGTTATCAGAAAACAAGATGACAAATCCTTTTAACAACTCAACCCTCAGACCCTGGTTTGCTGAGCAACGTCACAGAAACACCTCTTTTTAGCAAGACCGTGCCTTACTGAATGTTTTTACAGGTTTTAGTAATTTGGTCCGTTTGTTTTGGAGAGTAGGAGACCTCTGCGGGTCATTTGGTTCCTGGTTAAATCCTCCTGAACGATGAACAATAAAGGTATCCTAACGAGGAGAAGCTGACTGCAATGACGGCAATTGATTAGGAGCCCCCAAGTTGCAGAAAATAACTAGTTAAGAGTTTAAATCAAACTTTATTTGCAAAGCCAAAACGCCCTGGCATGCTTTTCCAGTAAAGTTTGATTGCCCGTAGATTGAAAGAACTCGCAGATTAAAATAACTTAAACCTATGAGGTATATTGTTTGAACACAATTTTTGTTCATGCAGAACAGCCAAATATGCAGAAAATGATCCTTCTGCTCCAGAAATATGACCTAGCTGCAGTCCATTGGATATATATGCAACAAAGGTCTTTGCCTTTTCACTGCAGGCAAACAGAAGTTATCAACGATATCAGTGCAAGAGTGTTAAAAAAAAATAGTGCACTGCAGATAATGTAAAGGCTCA